TCCCTCCTCACCCCCCTCCCTCCTCTCTCTCTCTCTTCTTTCTCTCTCTCTCTCTCTCCGCATCCGTGTCGCGATTTCGCTTCGAGCGGAGAAGATGTGGGATGGGAGGAGGATGGTAGGAGATGGAAGGCCCCATAAATAGAGGAATAAAAGACGACGGCGTATGGTACTCGGTCGTACACGCCCGATCCTTGCATGGGCGAAATGAAGACACGGTTGAAACTCACTCGGTCATTGTATTTATAAGAATGTTATATTTTCTCGGTAGTAATAGGAGCCCCTATAGAGGCGGTAAATATATTAATAGTGCGCTAATAAATGATATTTATATACAGATGGATAAAAAAACGAGAGGAAAGTGCGTTTCGGCTTTGTCGCGCGGATTCGAAGCGCGAATCGCTCGTAATAATTCTCTCCTTTCATTCGCATTTTATTATATATATATATATACTCCCTTTCCCTCCACACAAGCACAAGCCGCTAACCGTACTGCTTCGCGACACGTCCTCTTCGCGTAAACTCCTCTTTTGTACTTAATCGATTCGGTGGTTTCGAATATCTCGTGTGTGTATGTATGTGTGTGCGTATGTGTATGTATGTTTGCGTGTGAGTGGAATTGTCACCGCGACAATTTGGATCGCGTTCGCTCGTTCGGGCGCGATTCGCGGAGAAACTGCCTGACCGAGCGATCACACGCCGCCTCCTCCTCCTCCCTGATCGCGACCGATCGAGGGGAGGAGGGGGGAAAGAAACAAAAAACAAAAAAATTTATCCATCGCGTTTAAGATCGGAAGATTAGGCAAATTCTCCGCGAGATCGTCACGGTTTTCTTCTTTTCTTCTCTGCGATTCGCAGATGATCGTCTGCGAATTCAGAAATCGGATCGTTTATCAGCGCACGCAACGATTATCGGATTCTCAGCCGTGTTTTGGTATCGATGTCGCCACGTTTTACCTTTCGTTTCCTCTTTCGTCTCTTTCGCTCTTGTCCTCGATGCCTCTATTCTTCTTCTTCTTCTTCTTCTTCTTCTTCTACTTCCACCTGGATTTTCCGTTCCTCCATCTTTTGGCGTTAAAGCGTAAAGCCACGACTAAACCCCTCGTTCGCGATCGGACGAAGGAGCGCTGTCGTTAGAGAGATACCGTCCGCTCACTCCGAGAACGAACCTCGTTACCCTCATTATCATCGAGCGAGGAATATAATTCGAGATCGTCGACTCGCTCCCGAGGGGCATCGAAACTTACATCGTTAATCTTTGGTATTAGCCATCGTGTATATCCGCCTTTGTTCGCGCCTCGTATACCGAGATTTCTCGCAAAACGTCTCGAGATTCGTCTCGCATTCGAAATCGTCTCGAAATTCTTCTGGGAGAGCCAGAAAACCAAAAACTCTCTCTCTCGCGATCTTCGACTTTGTTGATCGAACTTGTGCTTGGTTCGTTCGTGCGTCGTTGTTCGTTCGAAAATGGAAAAAACGACGATAAACGACGGTAACTTTCGCGATATTGATAATCCTTTTCCAAGACTCGCGCGAGTTATAACCTCGTCCCCGATTCGAATGCCGACGAATCGGGAGCACCGTGGAAATTCATCGATTGGTCTGCGTATACTGATAGTCTTACGGTGTCGTTGCAGAGTCGACAGACACAAGATATTTACAGATAACTCTGCTCTTCATTCGCTCTTCACCCACACTCGCCCGATCGCCCTTTCGCTCTTTCGCACACGCGCCAAATCCTAAATCGCTCGTCACCTCACCTCGCTAGAAACGTTATCTTACACAAATCGCCTATTTTTATCGCGTTACATGTTCTTTTTTTTTTTTTTTTGTTAACCGTATTATATTACAAGACGTGCGCGATTAAACACGCGTTTAATCTCCGTTTTCTCGCTCGCACGCCCCTTTCCCTCCCTCCCTCCCTCCCCCCATCCCCCTATCTGCGATTCTATCGTATCGTTCCCGATAAATTTATTCGTTATATAATTCGCGATCACAGTGATTATTCCCAACCTCTGAAAACCTCGAAAGTCTCGGGAGAACCGGAAGCGTCCTCGAGTAACCGTCCCCCTTCTCCGTGTGAATTTTCAACCACCCCCTCCCTCATCGTCTTTCCTCCACGTGTTACACGCGTCCATCCGTCCGTCTATCACTCTGGTTCTTCGCGTTCACTTTCGCGTTTTAATTTCTCTCTTCGTACCGTCTCCTCTCCCTCCCATGCGCCGTTACGTGTCTCTCGGGTGAGCGTCAACAGGCTCAATAACCGCTGAGACATCTGAGCTTCTTCAAGGGGGGTGACACCTCGTTTCAGCTGGTCGGCGCCTGCATGGACATTGGCGGTGGCTTCACCGGGCCCAGGGCCGGACCCGACAAACCGTTGTTGTTCATGTCGCCCGGGGCTCTTGGGCCGCCCACGCCTATGGCCGTCCCGTTCACCATCGGTGTACTCGCCGACATTTGTCCCTGCGCCCATAAAAGAAGACAAACAACCTAGAACCTTTCCGTTTAATCCCTGCGTTCGTTCGAGGAAAAGGGTATCAAGGATTAATGGAAAAGTTTTGGAATTAACGCGAGACGATGCAAATTCGCATCGAAAAGGTTGAAATATTCGCGTTTCGAGATATAGGGGCGAGAAGAGGGTTAAAGGATATCTTCGTTCAATGATCGAGCAAGGCGTCGATGCTTTTTTTTTTTTTCACGCGCAAGTGCGTGAAACGAATGCGGCTCAAACGATTTCAGGATCCCCTCTTAACTTACGTTGGACACGTGATTATGTTGACCCACCGACTGGCCAAGTCCCTGATGAGGTTGCAGCGGATTGTGACCCGGATGCATGTTCTGGCCAGGCGGTGTCGGCGCTGGGGGCAGTTGCCTTTTGATGTACGCCAGCGTGGCCGGTGTTTGTACTGACATATTGGCGAACGCGAGCCTCTCCTCGTAGTCGAACTCGCACAGGATTTTGTTCTCGCACAGATAGAATCGATCGCCCACGCAAAACCTGCAATCAAAACGAAACAATTGCCAGGAGGTGGAAGATGGCCGTTTCGAACCGTGGAGGAACGCCGCTTCCTCTCTCTCTCTCCGTTGTGCTCGACCTCGAAATCGGGGCAGCGTCGAGTCGATCGATCGGGATCTCCACGCGTCAGACATCGTCACCTGTTACGTTGGAGAACCGTTGGAGAATCCAGTCGAAACGACTGGATGTTCGGCCGATCGCTCGCGTTCCACGAACACTTCGGCAAAGTTAGTTCGTGAAAACTCTTTCGCGACAGCTAAAAGAGATTTTGTCGAGCGAGCGAGCGAGAGAGAGAGAGAGAGAGAGAGAGAGAGAGAGAGAGAGAGAGAAGGAAGGAAAAAGAAA